ATACACCGCCACAACTACTGCCACACTCTCATCAAGAAAGGCAAACTGAGCAGCATTTCGGCAAGCAATTCGAGCCGATTCGAGGGGCGTTCGCCTGGGTTCTGAGATGTTCTGAGGGGTCTGATTTCCAGGGCGTAAACGGTGCGCGTCCAGGTGTGTATATATCACTGAGGATGGGATGAAACACACTTGACAGAATAGCGTTGTAGCCCTTGGGCGTAGGTTGTGGCTTAAAGCCCGGGAGAGAAATAAGAATACTGTATATAATAGCAGTATATAGCAATGATTCAATGATTGAATACAGGACAACCACGCAGAATTCAGGGAGAAAAAGCGTTTGATATGTCAAACGCGTCATCGTTCGATGGCACTGGCTGGCCCGATTCTGGCCCCGGTCCTTGGGCACCGTCAGGGAGGAGCCACTTTTGGGGTCCTCCACCAAGCCGCCCTCTTTGGGATCCATCGTGGCGGTAGCGCTCAAAGGCCTCAGAACCACCTGGAAGCTTTCGGAGGCCTTCATGGTCGTGGGCGCAAAGCCTTCACACTCGAAGGAGACCGTGGAGCATCCAGACACCTCCCTGAGCACAGTGTCTGGCACATCAGTGGAGTCATCGTCCATCTGGAAGTGGCCCTCCAAATCCGACGTGCAAGCATTCATCTTCCACTTGATATTCACATTGCTCACCGGATGTCCCTCCAAATCCACCACTTGCCCAGTAATAGAGCTGCCCAACACGTGTACCGCTTCCGGTGCCGCCACCACCGCGGGTGCCAAGGAGGTTTGGAGCTCCGTCCAGGACAGGCAGCGATCCCAAAGAACGAGCGCCGCCAAGTCTAGCTCGTTGCTGGCCCAGCCGCAGGCGCGCAACTTGCTGCCCAGCAACGAGACTGGGCAAAGGCCCAGGTCCAGCAAGCCTCTCTTTTGGGGATGGACACATTGACATGAGAACAAAAGAACATCGACACAGTCACGTAATTCTTACGACCTCTTATATCGGCCTTTGGTTCTCCTTTTTGGGCCAAACACCTTGGCGCACGTGCCCGTCGTACCCCTGAATGACGGGAGTCGTCGTTGGAGACGCGACTCCCACTTTTTCCACCTGTTTTGGATTACAGTAAGCGGGTTACGGTAGTGGGAAAGATCACCGTTTCCCCAACACATGGATTAAGGGATGCGTTTAAGGTTCTTCACTGACATGGGTGGTAAACAAATGGTAGTAAACAATGGTATATAAACAAGCTCCACCGATCTCCTCGTTGAACCCCTCGCTGTGTCTCCGGTTTCTTCGTTTCGCTCGCACCTTCGGCATCCACGGCCAAGACCGAGGTTCCACCCTCCACCGATCTCAGGAAGACTTGAACCCATCCTTGCTGAAGGAACTCCGCCGGCAGCTCCTGAGCGAGCAGTTCTGCTGCGGAGCGTAGAACCCAACCACCACCACCGCGGTAGAGACACGGTAGAGACCCTTTTTTTGGGGGGGGAGAAGTGGTAGGGGGTGTTTTTGGGAAGCGCTGGGATCTGCAAGAGAGCCTGGTAGCTTCAGCAATGTCTTGAAGTCTATTCATGTTCGATCATCAAGCAGGGTAGGACCTGCTTGAGGGGGACGACCAGGAAGCTTTGACCCAAAGACTTGCGAACCCGGGAGGTCTCTTGCGGCAAGTGTCTGATGAATGTTTCATCCAATGGGATCGGCAGGGTTCGATGCATTGAACATCATTGAACTTGCATGCTTTTTATATATGATTGAGGTTGAGATGCGCTACGATCACCTTAAGCTAATATACTCTATTAGACTCTATGAGTTTGTTTATATATTACTATTTACCCCAATGCCAGCTATACAGTAGCTCTTCCAATGTCGACCCCATCCGGACTCGTTCGCCTCGTAGTCGTCGCCCTTAAGGAGGCCCAGCTTGTTTTCATCCGAACGGAAGGCCAACCAATGCTTGTTGTCATCCCCTTGCAACACGCTGTCCCAGCCCAGCACGCGGTGTTCACCGGCACGGAAGCAAACGCCTCAGCGACCGTCTGGGAAACTGTTGGCTTCGCCGAGCGGAGAGAGGAGAGGATCCAACTCCACCGGTGAAGACCGACCTATCACCAAGTAAAGAAGTCCGTTCAAATTGGTTCATCTGAAAAGAATGTGTCTGCCACATTCCATATTTCGGCGCAGGCATCCAACGGCCGTGGCAAATAGACCATTCTATCAAGTTGCGTGACATCCAACTCGCCACAAGTCCAAAAACCGTGGAACAGAGTGGAACCCACAAGAACAAACACGTCCTGGAACCACCATTTAAGACATAACGCAAAACACCGCCGACAAAAACACAACACTAAAGAACGGACCCCCTAGTATAGATGAACCATGATAAATCATAGCAACCTATCATGACCTATCATAACCTATCAACACTCCTATCAACATCTATCAACCTTCCAAAACCACCGGACAAAACCAAGTCACCGACTCCGCTCCGCCTCCGCCGACTTCCCTGCCATCCGTATCGTATTGTTTAAGGTCGAAGGGCCCACAGTAAAAGGCTCCTTCAACTCCAAGAGTTTGCCCGGATCCTCCAAAATTCGAAGCCGGGCTTTGGCCTCACCACCCAGCCTCGCAAGACCGGCAAAACCGGGCTCGGCGAGACGACGAGCAGCGCAGCGCTCGCTTCAGTGGTTCGTCCTGTTCGGCCTGCTTAGTGTAGGAAATTCGGGACTTAGTGACAGGATGGGGGTGGACCTTGGACAGAAATCCCGGTGCCGAACGCAATCTCATCACATCATGTTTCATCAACTGTCCGTCGGATCACCCGAATATCACCAAATGACGTGGAACATGGATGAACATGGGCCCTTTTCAAGATGGGATCGAACCTCTTTGTATGCCCGCTTGCTGCATAATCTGGAAACATGGTAAAACTTGACTGTGAATTTACGCTTCCATACTTTAAATTCCAGCGTCGACTTCTTTCCATAGCAAGCCCAGGTCACAAAAAGGACAGAAAAACACGCTGGACACAGACCGGCTCGCAGGACGACGCTTCCATACCTGTCGTCCAAACCCTGTTCAAGTAAGGCCTATCGGGCCGAGCTCGCTGCTCCGTCCGGTCCCGTCACGTGAGAACGTCATCTCGCCATCACGTCGGTCGGTGCGTCACGTCGTCCGGGCCTCCAAAATCCCATGCCTTTCTCCGAGCTCGCCACCGGAGCACCCAGCGATAGGCCCGTGGGCAGTGTGGCGCCTGGTGCATCGTTGGGGGGCGTGGTCCGAAGACCTCCATGTTCTGCCGAAGCCAAGTTCGGGGCTCCCCATGGCACCTGAACGAGCTGCCTATATTTCTTACTTGAAGGGCCTAAATTGTTCCTATAGGACTAGGATATATAACTATATATAAATCAATCACCAAGTCCATGCGGCATCCCTTTTCAAAGCCCTGTCATCTGTCATCTGTCACCTACTCTCATTCCACACACGATGCCGATCGTCCTTGACGCGCCTGGATAAATGGCCACACGATACCCGGGTGGCCAAGGGAGGCTTTCGGCAGTCCCCGCACTCGCTCCAGAACCCATGGCGACTGCAACTTTGGCCGCGACCGGGGTGGAAGGTTCACAGAAAATCTGGTTTTTGTCAAACGGTTTGTTCAATCCTGAGGGGCCATAGGCACGGCTTTTCAGCACCACGAAGCAAGAGCAGTGAGTCAAGACCTTCAAGCTCTGTCACTGGGGAATTCTGTCATCCTCTGTCCCTTGATCCCACAAGCAGCAAGCCGTGCGTTTGGATGCCACTTTCGGGGCATCGTTGCATGCAAAAAAACACCACCACGGATCACGGTTCTGTGGCCGATCACGGTTCCAGAGTTCCGGCCGCGAGCCATCCCAACAAGAAGCTGGCTTTTTCTGAACTCTCTCGGAGACACAACATCTGGAGATCTCTGGCGGCATGGGTTTCGGCATGGGTTTCGGCCATTTGTTTTGACACGCTGGTCTTGGCGATGGCTATGCTGTCTTGGCAGGGGCAGAAAAGGAACACGTCCTTCGCGTCCTTCAAAGGGGAAGGAATAGCCGCAGCCCAATGACGTGGGCATTTTTCGACGGAGTCGCTGTGGGGGGAAACGGATTCGGATGTTTTCACGGCTTTTCGGAGGATCCAAGGCCGCATGGCAGTGCCCACTGCCACGCCATGAACTATGCCATAAACATAAATCAACTGAAGACAACCTTCATCAACGTTCTAAGATCTCGAGTTTGCAACAGGTACCCTTATAGGGTCAGGCAACTGGCAAAAACACCTACCGGGTGGGGTGGGGTTTAGCTCGGCCAAGTATACTTGTTCCTCTTCAGTGGGAGCACCTGAAAATCTAGATTCTAGAGATCCCAAATCATCCAGTTTGGATGAACTCTTGCCCAAATAAATCTAAATCTCTTTCATCTATCTTTTTCCATTGCACAAGCCGAAAGAGCGGCTTGCTGCCACGCGTTGCGCGTCTCTTGCAACAACCACGCGTCAGTCGTGGCGGTTCATGGCACCGGAACACGCGGCGCTCTTGGACCTTCCCGCCCGAACATGAACAAAAACCCTTCAAGTCCAACGACCCAGTAAAACCAGGTCGTTTGGTTGCTTGAATGGTGTTTTTGTAGGTACCAAGTCCAGTCAAATGAGGTCATTGACCTGTAGGGAAAGAATAGATCGACCTACCAGGAGGTGAACGGACCAGGGAGTATACGGGGTGGTCGGGTGCCTTCCATTGAATCTTCTGCTTCGCCTCGCTCTCCGACCCCAGGTAAGGGGATCTGCTGGGCACCGATCTTCCTCCAAGAACCCACCCCGACATGTCATGTGACTCCTTGTTCCGTTCGTAGCAATACCATGCAAGAGCCCCGTTCGTAGCGTCCGATCGCTCCGTTCGTAGCGATGCCGTCCCCGTTCGTAGCATCCGATCGCTCCTCTGGTCGTTTTCCCTGTCCCCCACTGCCCGGTCTGCCAGCGCCAAGACGCTGGAAGGTCAGCTCCAACGGCCGCACCGACTTCATCGCGCTGCGAAAGGCCTCCTCGGCGGCGATCGCGACGAAGGGCGTCGCCGCGTAGCGGGAGCGCGGCGCCAAAGCCGCGCGAGGGATCGAGAGATGGGCAGGCGGGCGATCGCGCATGCGTTCTTGGGGGTGGGTCTTTTGGATTGGTGACCGTGGAGTCATTCGAAACCATCGCGAGGCAGTGGTCAGGACAGCAGGACAGTTTCGAAACGAGCGCTGCCATCAAGGGCGCTGTGAAGTGTTCACTTCTTCGCGGCTGTAGCTAAGCTAGCTAAACAAGTGGTCCATTTCACTGGTGCCTTGGGGTTCAATGACAAGGGGTGGCAAGGGTAAACAAAGTTGATGCCATTGAAAAGAGCTGTTTTTCCCACCTCCTTACCCTCACAAGTATGTGCAATGCACTTCAAAAAGCCGAAAAATGTTGGTGCTGCCGCCACCAGCCCCAGAAACCACTGAGCAAAGAACCTCCTTGGCGAACCTCTTGCTCCGTGGCTTGCGGGAGCCATCTGAGATGCCTTTGCCCTCTGGCAGTGTGTCTCAAAATGAAAGCTGAGGAACCTTGCTTTGAGGAACAAACAGAACATGCTCAGTCACTGAGGCATCGTCGTGTTTTTTTCCAGATTTTCCAACAATGGGCACTAAGCGCTGTGTGTTCACAAGCTGAGTTAAATGCTCCACTTCAATTTTCAATGTGAGGCTCATCATAAAAAAGAAGTGCGAGATGAAAATGAAGGTGGTCAAAGACGAAGCGAGGAAGCGTTGGGTGTCTCTTCTCGGTGTGCTCGTGATTTTACACAGCCCGGCACAATCAATGCCAATCTCTCGTCTGGGTGCTTGGGCCTTTTATCTTCTGGGCCTTTTTTTCGCCTGATTTGACTTCGTTTGGAGCTGTGTTCCGGATGAATAGATATCTTTTGAAGCCGATCGAATAGGAGAGTCCCACACTGGGAGAGCAATTCTCACCCCCTACATGTCTCCCTATGACTCATACGTTGGGTCTATCCCATTCCCTGTAACCGTGGATCTTTTTCCACCTTCAGTTGCAGGCCTTCCTCTAATATCCTACGTATAGATAATTGTTTAGCGACTGACTGCTACAGGTTTACTATATGGTTTACTGGGACACCCCCCCCCAATAGAAACGATCTTGCAGCGTCGAACCATTTTGTGGCCTTTGGGACTGCCTGGAGCGCTTCCAACGCCAAGTCTCATTGGACATGCTGCTGGCCTCCTGCCCCTGGACCTGGACAGGCACTCAGCGAAGCCGGAGAAGGAAGTTGAGTCTTGCGAAGTGATGGCAGCTGGGAACATGTGCAAAATCATGTGCAAAATCACAAAAACAACTAGTAAACAACTAAGTAAACAACACAACTGCTCATTGTAGTGCTAGCACATTATATGCTCTCTTCCTCTCCTCTTCCTCCTTAGAGGCCAAGACTATGACCTTCGGAATTTGTACCCATCTGGGCACATGACACACGACCACGATGACCAGATCCCACCGACCATCCCGGGCCTTGAGAAGTTGAAAGCCTTCTTTCACTCCATGCTGCGCAGCCCAGCCCTCAGGCTCCACCTTCTTCACCCAAATCTTCGTCTCCACCGGGGGAAAGGCGCCTCGGGACTCGACTGGCGAGTCCATTCACCCCCCCGGTGGCCGAAGGAAAAGCCGGAATGACCCGACTTCGGGAAAAACGACGTACACTCTGAGGAACACATCACATGGAAGTGGAAAACCACGTGTTTGTAGAGGAAAGTAGTCTTCCAAGTGACCATTGTCCACTTCCATGTGATGTGTTCGTCAGAGTGTATGCTTTCGGGTGGTTTTTTCCATGTTTTTTTCAGGTTGCCCCAGCCACTTCGTAAAAAGATCTCCACTCCAGCAAGCTACTTTTTTCAACAAGCAGCCAGATGTGGGGGTGGCTGGGTTTCGTAGCAACAGCCCTGGAAGTCCGAGCGCGACGGGGGCGGTCATAGAGACGGCCATCCAATCCTCTCCACGTCTCTACCTCTTCAGATCAACCCTATCTGTCTCTTTTGGACGCCGTAGTGAGCCTTCGGGTGTTCAGGGGTGTTAGGTAGTGAGCACCCAAAAATGAGAACGAAACAGCTGAACGAGAAGAAGAGGGAAGGTCGTTCTCGTTCTCTTTCAGGTCCCCCCGTTGGATGCCCAAACACGACCTATTTGGGACTGCCACAGGACTGCCGCCCCATTGACCCCGAGTCAACCACCCCAACTGATTGGCATATATATCCCTAGAGCTCCAAGCACTTCCTTAGAAGGTATTTGGACCCTCCTGTCACCCACCCCAGTCCCACCTTCTAAGGTCCGACTGGAGCCCAAGGGTATGGCAGTCCCAACAGAGGTTGAAGAAGCCTATAGGCTAATGGCCATAGGTACCCCAGTAGGTTCCTAGTTCAGGTCACTGGCTACCTCTCTTGGATTTGCAACATCAAACTCTTCCAACATGGCGCTGTGTTCAGCCCCAATGCCGCAGCTGCGGCAGAAAACACCACACATCGCCGGGCGCGGGACATCTCCACCGGAAACCCTTCGTCGCCCTTCGTTCCCACCCTGCTTCCCCTTGTGTCGGATGTCGGTCCTCCTTTAGACCTTACCTATCCAACGACCCGTCTGGCACTGCCAGTCCGGACTGCCTTCAAAACGGGCATTCGGGGTGGTGCCAGCGGGGTCTGGAGTGGCAGTCCGACATGGCAGTCCCAGACGGGTCGTGTCTGGGTTATGGTGACCATGTCCTTCTCGAGTACTGGTCCTCACCTGGAGCTGCCTTTTCTCCTCCCCAGGTCCCCACCCGTCAGCCGCTGCCCAGGCACTCACCCCAAAGCCCAGGCTGCCCTCCATGGCCACCAACGTGACGACTCCTGCCGGTGAAGCGGAGAGCGACCGTTTCGATGCACGGCTTCGGCTTGGTCTTCTTTTTCTCGTGCTTCTCCGAGTCGATGCAGACATGAAGAAAGGTCTGAAGAAAGAAAAGAGCAACACATACACTGAAAAAGAAAGAACACAGAGTCAAACATGAATGAAACACGAGTTGAATAAAAGAAAACAACTAGAGCCTAAGAGATGCCAAGAACATGCTAACTAGTAGCAAGAAAGGGCACGTTTAGGCTACTTACACCCCCTGAGAGGGAAAAAAACAAAAAACACATGGAAGTGGATGGCCCCTTGAATGACCATGTTCAGGTGGTGCTTCGGTGCTTGGCCTTCGGTGCTTCGTGCGCCGAACGCACGAAAACGCGCCCGCGACGCCGGCGGAATGGAGTCCTTCTGGTTCCGGAGGACCTGAGTCAGGCGATGAGAAACTCAAATTGATGGCACCAAGAGCCAGTGGGTCCAAGAAGATAAGAATGAAAGAGACTCAGAGACCTCCCATTTTCCTGGACCGCGATCACACCTTTCCAGGTGTTGTTGCCGTTGTTGTTGTTGGTGGTGGTGGATCTTCATCTATGAAACTCTTGGAAGGAAAAAGGGCGGAAATACATATTAGTTGGAACGCCATCCACAAGCGAAATAACAAAATTCATGTTCATGCTCCACCAACGGGTTACTCCAATTCTTGTCAAATAGAAAGGTTAGCCACACCAATGCTCGACCCAAATTAGTGCCTGCGCTTGCCAAACATGCCAGCACCCCCCCTTGACCCAAAAGATCTGCAAGAAGTTTCAACAATGAGTAGCAAGAGGCTACTGGCAACAAGGGCACTGCTAGTAACCGGTGCATCGCTGCTTACTCGCAAGAATGGAAGGTGGGTGACCCTTGGCTGCTTGGCCAAAGCCGGCTCAGGCGAGTGGGCGATTTCCATTCACTGCCGGCCGTCATGTGCGGGGAGGTGTTCCTTTTTTTCGGCAAATTCACCTTGACATTAGTCATGCACCAGGATCATTCAATGGGTGTCCAATAGACTCCCCTACCCTACTTATGGGTCTCCAGACAGGGCACCCATTGGAAGTGGTGGTGACATTTAATCAACAGACCCGTTCAAATGAACCGGTGTGATGCAGAACGACAGCTGGTTCGGCCGTGAGCGGGCCGACTTCTCCTTTCTTCGGTACCGGGCCCCACGGTGGAGAGTCCAAGGGGGCAGGAGGTGCCAGGACTCAATTCCCCCTTGGGCTCCAGTCGGACCTTCTTAGAAGGTGGGACTGGGGTGGGTGCCAGGAGGGTCCAAATACCTTCTATAAGGAGGTACGACTGGGGCTCTAGGGGTCCGTGATGTTGGGATACCCGAACACTCCATGTCATGGTATATGTACCGATCAGTTGGCCTGGTGGTTGAAAGGGGGTCTGTCTGGGGCGGCAGTCCGACATGGCAGTCCCAAACAGGTCGTGTTTGGGATAGAGCCGACCAACTGCACTGGTCAAACATCATCCAACGTCGCTTCCGACGCGCGATGGCGCCACCCACCCGCTGCCACCCAGTGGCTGTGCGGCGAGGCCTCAGTCACCACCTGCACCGTCCATTGGGCGAGGCGGCGAGGCGCTTCGTGTCCGGTGCGTCCGTTTGGGCAGTGCTGGGCGCTGTTCACCGGCAGGCGCATGCATTGCCCCGTTGTTTGGACAACCGCCCTTCCAACGGACCAGCCACACGGTGCACTGGACAGACAGGTGACCACTAAACACTGAAAACACTGTCCGTGAAAAACGTCTGGTGTCCAACGAGTTTTGGGGGCTCCGAGAACAGAGACGCGTCTCACACTTTCTTTCTTTTCGCAAGCCTGAAAGGAGCCTCTCACTACTTCATTGAACTCAAAAACGCAGCCAAAAGCCAAAGACGCGCAGTCAGACGCGCATGCGTCCTATACGTCTCGCGTCTCAAAAAGCACGACGTCCGCGGCCGCGTCGCGGAACGCTCTGCCTCCTTTGCCTCTTTGGGTCCCAGCTGCAGGGTGACCGGCCGTGCCTAGCGGAGTGGGTGCGTCACGGGTGAGCTGACGCACCCGGCGAAGTACAAGGAGTGGCGCAGGTGGAGCTGACTGAGTTGGCTCGATCGATGGAACATCAAGGTTCACCACACTTGGCACCCGGATTTGAGTGGGGAAACCCCATCCCCCCCAAAAAGGGTAAAGGTTTTCCACTGAAAGGCTGAAGGGATCTAAAGGGTTAAATGTTGAAAGGCCAAAGGTCCCAAATGTTGAAGCATGAAATAGTATTCAAAGAACTGCAACATGCCAGGACATGCCAGGACGCAGGCTACTCTATGTGTTCCATTCATGGTGCAACACGTTGCAATGCCGCTTGAATAGGCTTAATATTCGATCTGGGTTCGATGAACGCAATTTACACACTTAAAAACATGTAAATGCCATCCAGGTTGATCCAAGAGCTTCGACTTTTCAACTTTTCTGGTCCAAACGTTTCAATCTGCTGAGCGTTGGTGGCCGGATGTTGCTCTCAAGAAGTCAAATTTACAGTAGAATCTACTTCGCAATGTGGCCGACAAACACTTCTAGCTTCTTGTTCCTAGTGGTAAGAATGCTACTAGTAGTAAGGCCAGGAGCCCCATTCGTCGTAGCGTCCTTGCTCCTAGTAGTAAGGCCAGGACCTTCCACTCACACACCTGCCTTGAGCTTTTCCTTGATGTCCTGGGCGGGAATGAATTCAAAGGTGGCCCTGACCCAACGTCATTTCCAGCGGGAAAAACATGGATGGAACATCTCACCACTGGCGCAGTGTCCCCAAACACTCCAGACTCCATGCTACTGCTGACATCATCTGGTAGTTTCTCTTCTGGGGCCAGAGATGTAGATCGATTCCAGTCCCACTCATCGTGTCTCTGGTACCATTCGGTACCCACCTCCTTCGGATGTGGCTCGGGACCGGTCGAGAAAACGGATGGTCAGCTGAGCTGCCCCGGTGAGGGAGTCGTCGCCGTTGATGGACATGAGAATGAAGCCTCAAGTCGGATGTCGGATGTCGAGGGGCTGGGTGAGGACAACACCTGAAGAACATCTGCTTTCAGCCAGCTTCCGATGCCGGAACCAACGGAACCACCGCCATCTGCTGCTGAACACATCTCTGCCGATACCGAGTGGCCAGGAGCCACTCCATGCCTCAAACGCGAGACGCGAGACATGGGTTTTTCCAGGTGATTGGAGAGCTACTCCCCTGCTTGAGGACCACATGGAACCCCCAAACTACTGGGTTTGGGCAGGAAAATCCTCTTCCACGGGTCAATTCTCAGGTTCTATGTTAGTTTGTGGGGGAGTACTTCAATGGTGGTCGACCTGGGTGCCTGAAAGGGCGGCGGAAGACTAGGAGCGGACGTGCCGTTTCTGAGATCACCCAAACAGGACGTTTATGGGACTGCCAGTCCGGACTGCCAATCAGGCCAGGGGTGGTGCCAGATATGGCAGTCCCAAACGGGTCGTGTCTGGGTGGTACCGTTTCTGAGACCGAAAAAAGGTGAGTACACCTGAAACGACTTCAGGACAACGGTTCCTGAGGAGAAGCTGGGCGAGAACCTTCTCCAACATTGAGTGAGGACTGGACCCGATTTTGGCTTGGAAGCTGGAAAACCCTAGGCCTCCAGTCGTACCTTCTGAGAAGGTGGGACTGGGGTGGGTGCCAAACGTCGGGTCCAGTCATACCGAACCTGAGGAGGTACGACGAAGTCGGTGTAGGGAAAGTATGAATCCAGTGGCATGACGCCTGACGCCTTTGGCCTTGTTGGAGGAGACTGTTACCCAGTGGAGGCATTACCAGTCTTGCCAAAAGGTCTAGACGCATGCAATGTCACTGGTCACTGCAGCGAATCGCCAACGAAGAACCTCAGATTCTACCCGAGCGAACTAGACAAACAAAAACCGTTTCAGCCTAACCCGGCGGCCCCAACCGAAGGCCTCAACCCACGGTGCTGCCGCCGTTCATGTGCAACCCCTGCTCCACCCTCGTTGCGTTCACCAAGCGTCTGATCTGCCAGGGAGCCTGGCTGCACTTTCGTCACCTCTCTGCAGGTGCTGTCCTGGTTCCACGCGCCGCCCAGTGAACTACAGTAACAAACCACATGGTTCAAGCCACACAAACCCAGCTCTAGGAGATGTTGCTGGATCTCCACTGGATCCACCAGGCCATGCAGAAGTACCTACAGTACTGGCCAGTTCTTGGGCGAAAACACTCGTCATGCTGCGCTTGTGTGTGGGATGTCTCTTGCACTTTGGTTCCATACAACTCTTGATTCGGAAGCTTTGACATATTTTCATCCCTGTCCCTGTATGTTCCAGACAAGACTCGCCTTGCAGTTGCTTCCATCACGTTTCGTTCCCTTCGTACTTGCACCCTGCGTCCTTCCACACAGCTATAAAAACACTTCGACTGCGTGGGAGAAAAAAAAAGGATCAAAATAAGGCTCTTGCATCGTGCCGCCTACGACTGCCCTTTCACAGCTTACGACTGCCTCCTACTGCGCACCGATCCAGTCACTCAGTCACCCTTCCCTTCGTCGCCCTGCGTAGCCAGGGCACGAAGCCACAGCCGAGCTTGGCGTCCTTGTCAGGCCTTTTTTGGGGGGGCTGTTGTTCAAGCACAATTATTGGTTCTTCACATCAGTTGGACATCTTCGATCTCTCCTTTTGTTATATTATATGTTTTTCCTTTGAAGTCTTTACAAATTGATAGATCTTGAGAAAGTCTCTCCTTGAAACTTCCCAAGAACTATATCCCTTACTACTACTCCTACTTGTCTTCCACTGTTCCAACTCTTCTCCATTCTCTCATCGCTGGCTCCCCGAAACTTCGCCCGGGCCGGGCCGATCCGGATCCGCCCGGTGCCCTCATCGTCGTGTCGTTCCGAGTGGCAAATGGAGCGTTTGCACCGAGGCCATGGGAGCGGACGGGACGGGACGGAGGGATGGTGCCACGTGGAGATTGAGGGAGCAGTTCAAACAGTTCGGGTGCATCCAGCGCGATGAGATGCGATGAGATGTGATATCGATTGAATGATCTCCCCCCAGAACTAAGAAAGTATTTGCAAAGAAACATCGATATCAATCCATGTCATCCAAAAGCGACAGGTTCTGGAAAAAGCTTTGCTCTGAATGTGGGCCTCTTCGTGGATGTGGCAGTTTTCTCCCGCCCCGGACGGTAGACCTGCTGACCTGCTATTGGGAGAGCCCGTCATCCTCTTGAGCCACACGGATTGCTGAGCCGCACGCCAAGCCAAAGAACGACACGCCTGGAAAACATGCGTACTGCAGCATGCGAAGTTCTACAATCCCCAGATCCGTGAGTGGACTTTGCTCAAAAGTCTCAGTCTTCTTTGGCCGCTTTTGAATTTGCTCACATCCTGCGCGGTATTCTCACCGTTCCATGTTTATACACCGTAAAATGGCTGATACTGATGCCTCCTTGCTTACTCGCATTTTTCAGCATGTGTCTTAAAAAGAACCGACCAGTGGTCAGTTTTGCACCTTAAATCATTTGCATGTGGGTCTCTTTTTGGCATTGGCACGCGGGGAGTAGACCTATGCAACTCAAGTTTGTATACATGCTTAAAAGTCCACCATGGACGTCCAGCACCTGTTCCTTCCGATTCTTTCTCCGCCTTTGAATCGATGCCATTCTCATTTCAGGAGTCTTCCCAAGCCCGCCTCCAAGTCACTGTCGATTCCCCTTTCGCTGGAGCCTCGGGGCTACCCCGGGCGGTTCAATGTCGTTCAAAGGGCAGCCTCCCGCGGTGGTGTTAGGATGGGTAGACAGCAACGGTCTGGTAGAAGATGCATCTTAGCACATCTAAGACCCGAGTCGGCCACTCATTCAGACTCATTCTACAAATGCATAGCCGTTCCGATACCCATCTCACCATTGAACTTTTAGAAAAGGGTGCTCATGGTTGACCACAGCATCACGCATAATTATATCATGATCTTCAACTTCCCCCAAGATAGATGAACAGAATCGAACAGAATTGAAAAAAATTATGATCCCTAGGCCCTAGGCCTCCAGTCATACCTTCTGAGGAGGCACGACTGGAGGTGTAGGGTATATCATGACATCAATATCCGCTGCGGCCGTGCCATGAGACATCCCGTCTGTCCATTCCGAGCGCCGTCCGCCTCGCCGGCAGCTGGGCAGAACGCAGAAGCAGCCTCAGTGCAGGTGACGGTCGCCTTCGACCAACTGGTGGCCTTCTTGAGGACCTGCTGGGCGAGACGGATGTCGAGTCACGGCACAAATGGCAACACAAAGGACAATATCCCAGAATTGGTTTTTAAGGGAACTCTTCAAATGGTTTATCGGTTTCCGGCAGATTTTAGCACTTCAAACAGGTCTGACAAAGAACACAAGCGCTGTACTCGTGCCCTTGTGGTGCCTTATGCCCCTAATCTCCAGGGCCGCGCACACCCCGCGGCCAGCACCGATGCAAAAGCCTAAGCACTCGAAGTGGCACGCCCCTACAACCAGTGGCTGTCCCAGGTAGCCAGGTGACAGGTTCTTGAACCTGGCAAGGGAGATGCCACTGGTCCGGTGACAGCTTCTAGTGGTTTTCGATGGTTTTCTTAATTACTGCTCATGAACTGGTCAGTCTCGCTTGTGGGGCACTGATAACAGCTGATGCGTGTGTGAGCATGTTCACTGTGGAGAGGTTCAAAGTCTGAAGCGCAATTTCTTTCAGAGCATCGAACACTTCAGGTGCAAGTCCCCGACCCAAAAACGCCCACGTTCGTCCCACCCACCAAATCTCCTCTTCCGCTGGCCGAAGGCGTTCGCCTGTGACTGGCGTACCCACCAACCACCACCCCGAAATCATCACCCACCTCCCCCGCCGTCGCAGTGCATGCAGTGCACTACTCCACCGTCCCGCGCCAGGTGCGTCCTGAGCTTCTGGCAACTCCATCGTTGCCCTTTGCCACCTCGGACGGACGGGAGGCACGGTGACCGCGCAGGTCACGGCGCGGATCACCGCGCGGGTCAACGCGTCACAGGGCGCCCCGGCGGGCTGCAAGCAAACACCGACATACCTGGCGTTGCGACCGCGGGAACGCGATGCGAGCTGATGCTCAGCTCGCAGTCTGGGCGGAGGGAGGGGAGCACCTTTCGAAAGGTCTTTTTTCAAGCGGACGGTCCAACGGATCGATCTGGCCCGTGCTAGTGAGATATATTGATCTATTCCAAGCAAACAACAAACAAAACCATACAACCGCAACCCCTTTGGAATTGTTCATCTTTTCTACAGGCCTCCGGCACCCAAAGACCAACGGTGGGTTTGTTGCTCCGACCCAAACACAATCCAACCAGAAAGGCACCCGAGCTCGTCGCACCCCCACCTCTCACGGTGCATGAGCTCGTCGCGACCTGAGAAGACGAGGAAACAGAACGTGGTCCGGTGGGGAATGGTGGGACAACTCCGCTGGCGAAACAGCTTTTGAGCGCTCTTTCCCCAAGCTTCCAATCCCGAAACTCTCCACTTTGTGGTTGCGGCGCCTCCCCAGAGACCCGCCCACCTCCCCCCGGCCCTTCTTCGGGGTGGAGTCGAGTCGAAAACTTCCTCGAAGCCCAGCCCTCCTCGGGGGCCATGCGTAGCCATGCCGCGGTATCCGCGTCATTGAAGTCTCCCTTGAGACCTGGAGCCACGGCGGTCTGCCGTGGTCGGGCCTGTGGACTGACCGGTGTGTCCACCGTGGGTGCTTGAAAGAAGAGTCGCCAATAACTTCAATCGAACTTCAAGGTGCATAAATTCCCGAAGATTCAATAGCCAAACACTCCATGTATGCCATATATGCCTACATTGACCCCCAAAACCACCCCAATGTAGGTAAATAATGGTAAATATACCATACATGGAGTGTCTGGGATATAGGCCTTCTTACCAGCAGCTATTAGGCAAATGAACGGACTTTGGAGTGAAGCTGCTTCACGCCTTCACGCCAGGGTTTTCTTCCTGCGAGCACGTGTTCTGATGCTTCACGAGTGAGTTGGTGACTGAAACTGAGGTCACTCCAGAGAGTTGGTGAGTTGGTCACTCACCTTGGTTGGTTGGTTGGGGCTGTGCTTTTCCATCACACCAACCAACTCTCTGCGCAGCACGACCACCCCCGCTTGCGAGAGCCGCCGCGTGGGAACCCAAAGCGATCGACCGGATGCGCCGCCGACGCGCGCGCGTCGCGTGGTTTGCTCGGTGCCCCAACAGGACGCGGCCGGAATGTGAAGATCCTGAGCGGATCTGAGCAGCTCTGCTTCTCGTCTCTGTCGTGTTACGTCTCTGCTGGTGTCAAGGCTAGGTCTCTCTCGGATCCGAATCTGAGCCGTCTTTTGGTTGGTGAGGCGAAGGCACATGGAACGCACAACACAAGCAGGGAAGAAGTGATGTACACCGTCAAGGCAATTTGATCTGAGCCACCGGCTACATGGCCCTCAATCTCAGGCCTGAATCTGATGTATTGGCCGGAGTTTGAATGAAGTTCTCAATAGACCTCCGTTATTCGAAGTTCCCCACTAAACATTAATATATCTTGGAAACCGTGCCACTCTCTATGTGAGGACGACGCAGTCATGCCAAAAGTGTGGCGAGTGTGGCCCTCTCCAACTGTCGTGCTGCTCTCCGCGTGCTCTCCGCTTTTCCCGCTCAGGGCACGGCTTCTCGCTGTCAAACCACACACACTTTTGGCAAACCTACCAGGTCGACGGATGGCGTCACTAACTCAAGCTAACCATGTTACTAACTTAGGCCGCCATTTTTGGGTTCCAAGATGTACCGAATTCGATCTTTTCGAACACTCCATCCGCGGATCAGCGGAGATGCATTGTTTGGAGGGAGTTGTGGCCCGCATCCGCTGATACCGCCTGCATCCGCCGCGACCGCAGCTGCTCTCCCATCTGCGTCTTTTTGCAACGGTCGGCCCATCTCCGGTCGCCGCGGAAGTTGTGTGAGACGGTGCCTTCGGCACACCGAACCTGCCGCTGCGGCGGTACCAGACCTTCATGCTATCCCCCAAAACAGTGTTAAAACCACACGGAACGCATGAGACTTGACTATACAAACTCACCCACTTGCAGAAGGCGCGAACTGACCTGGCCCAAGAAGCTTCCCAAACCAAATCCACCTCGGAGCGCCCCCTATTGGAGCTGTGGTGAATCTTCGTTCACCACTCCTGGAGGCGTCGTCACCCTGGAGCTCATCGCATCCACTTCCGTCTCACCTCGGTACGGTCTGCGTGCGGCGTTGGACGCAGACGAGTCCACCAAACCAAAACCGCGGTGGCACAGGGTCAGTCGTAGTCGCCCTGCCCACCATCCGAGTTGGGGGTGGTTGATGGACCCCTTTTTATGTAATCAACACCATGTACACCCACTTGATGGGTGTAATCCAATCGCTATATGTGTTCTATGATTAATCACCACCCTCTTTTAGGGTGGCACAAGAATTGGCGCCGTTCCTTAGTTCAATGGTGTTGAATTTGAATTCCCTAGCCGCTAGCCTGGCTGGTTGGCACATGAGTCCACAACTCAAGCTGTCTCCGTTCGAACATCCTGAGCATTCCCACTCTCCTCTGGCCGTTGCCACTGGGACCGGCCTGAGGTGTTGTGCCAATAGTACCTGACGTGGGGAAATCGGGAAATCAGGATAAAGGCAAACCTGAAAGTTGTTGGGATCGCGGTGTTCGTCTTTACAAGCGCATCAGAAAATAGACGCAGAACGAAGAAGTTGGAGCTCAAACACCTGCCTTTTTCTCCTGGCCTTGAGAAAGCCATGCGCTCTACGATGCCGCGTCTTAAAGCGACGAAGAAAGAAAGAAAGGTCAAAAGGAAAAAAAACACAAGGTCAACAGGTACAGAACAACAAGCTTCCATAATCGACAAGACTAAGCACACTTCCAACTGCATGCGCCAAGTGGCCAAGCGCTTTGGCTTGCATCGAAATGCT